TGTCCGAAGAGCATGTCGCAGCCATCCAACGTTGTCGCGAGAAACTTTATGCTAAAGCTGAAATTGTCACCGCAGTCAATCTGCACTGTCCGTGTTTCCTAAAAAATCGCCAGAGGCGTCCCATCCATGAGGCGAGAGTCAATTTTGTCAGAATAACAGTTGAAAGTTAGAAACAGGAAAGAGGGGTTTCACTAGCAGACAGTTGAGAACATATAGCAAACCCTAACAGGGCTGTACTCACTATAGAGTACCCCACTGCAGACTAGAGAAATATAACATTCTAACATACCCCCATAGTCAAAGTGGGGTATGATCAGCACAACAAGCAGCAGTTTATAGTTCACAAATATACGCAAAGCTAGAAGCTATCATAGAGGGCAAGTGTGGAGGAGGAGGGACTATGAGGGGAGAGGAGGTAGTGGGCGGCAGCTGAAGCTGCTGGCACAAGGCGCACCTGGAACAACTGGCACACGGGCAACTGGAGCAACTGGCACACTGGCAACTGGAGCAACTAGCACACGGGCTACTGGAGTAACTGGCTCCGCGGCTAGACGAGCGGCAGGAGCAACTGACTCTCGGGCGACTGGAGCAACGGGCTCACGAGCAACTGGAGCGACGGGCTCACGGGCGACTGGCGCAACGGTCTCATGGGCGACTGGAGCTGCTGGCTTCACGGCGGCCACCCCCCTTTAACCTCCCCCTTTGTCCCAAAACTCTCGTTCACACACCCCCTGCTGCACCCCTAGCTTCACTCCCACGACACCCTCCTAGCACCACTCCTTCGGCTCCCACACACCCACCCCCCTCAGCGGCAGCTGCAGCAGTGGGAGACGGAGGAGGAGGAGGAGCAGGGGTCGGCTCACACACCTGCCACCCCCATACCCCCAACACAGGGCAGAAACGCGAGCAGCAGCTGGGGCGGCGTGTGAGCTGAAGCGGGGCGGCGCGCGGGCCCCCAGGGCGCCTCGACGAGTGACGGGAGGGGGGCGACGCGCGGCCCCCCCAGGGCGCCGCGACGGGCGACGAGAGGGGCGACGCGCGCCCCCCCCAGGGCGCCGCGACGGGCGACGGGAGGGGGAGGCGACGCGCTGGCCCGCAGGGCGCCGCGACGGGTGACGGGAGGAGGGGGGGGGGGGGGGGGGCGATGCGCGGGCCCCCAGGGCTCCGCGACGGGCGACGGGTGACGCGCGGCCCCCAGGGCTTCGCGACGGGCGACGAGCAGGGCGACACGCGGCCCCCCAGGGCGCCTCGACGGGCAACGGGCAGGGCAGCGCGCGGGCCCCCGGGGCGCCGCGTGAGGCAGTAAACCGCCGCGCGCCCCGAGCGCGCGGCGGGCAGAAAACCGCCATGCGCCTCGAGCGCGTGGCGGGAAGAAAAAAAAACGTCGCGCGCCACGGGGCGCGCGACAGACAGGACAGCAGCTGAAGCAGGTGGGCCCACAGGCCAGGAGCGATCTCGCTCTGATAGCATGTCACAATAGCAGTTGAAAGTTAGAAACAGGAAAGAGGAAAGAGGGGTTTCACTAGCAGGCAGTTGAGTACATATAGCAAACCCTAACAGGGCTGTACTCACTATAGAGTACCCCACTATGGACTAGAGAAATATAACATTCTGACAAATTTCACGCAAAAACCTGACTAGCTGCAACTTGCAATTTTTTTGCTGATGCCTAATCGAAGAGGCTATATCTAGCCCCGCCATCGACGAACATATCTTAAAATTCTTGAACAACGTGCCAACAACCAGCACTGGGTGATCCACATGATTATCCTTGTTATTCGGTCGAGTGTGGTCGATTGCATGAATCAGAACCATGACTCGGTGGGGATGGTTGGGTTCGGGCGACGGAGCACAGTCAGTAAGGGGTCCGTCAAATACTAACTCTTCCCATTTCCGTGCTCTTTCCCGTCGTTCCTCTTCCACGACTTTTTGTCGGGGTAGTCTCTAGGCATATGACCTGACTACCCACACTTAAAACACAACCTTGTGAAAGGGCGTTCGGGTCCATGGAATCCGTTAATTGTGGCCCGCTAGGTCTGTTTGCGAAACTGATTTCCCTCTCGGTAACTAGATATCACCCACTACATCAACGCGTCTATAGACTCGGCCAATCGTATGGTTTCCATGAACGTAGTCGGGTGGCTTCGGCAGACCTCGTACTGTATCTCATATTTGAGGCCGCTGATGTACTTATCCAACCCGCTCCGGCTCCACCATGTCGCCCACTTATTTGGCAAGTGCCATAAACGACATAGTTTAGTCTTGAACAGATCACAGTGCGACCAGGCACGCAGCTCCATGCGAGCTTGTTCCGAGGTGGATACATGCTCGAAGCGATCTCGTAAAGCTACGCACCACTCCTTCCACGTGGGAATCGTGGTCACACCGAATATTGATGATGCCCTTTGATTTGCTGAAGTTGAGGTCCTGTCTGCCGTGTGTGTCACACATGTCGAGGTCCTCGTGTCCAAGGTACGTTGTGTTATAGTCTAGAGTCCACTTAGGGGTCGCGGATGCCCATGAATCCGCCTAAGCAGAATCTGATGAATTCGAACCGCCTCTGTTCAAAACGCCGTCACGATCAGCTCCGATAACATACGAGGCTGAAACTTGGAGAGAAGTTAGCTTCAGGTGTCTGCTTTCTAATGATATATTGCTTGCTTTCATCAGAGGTGTATGCGCTACGCAGTGAACGAAAACGTAAGCTCGGCTGAAAAACATTGCCTAGGGGACTCTTGATGTGAACGAAAATGTAGTTTCATTGATGCAAGGAAGAGGTGAGTACAACATTGCATAGGGGACTCTTAAGGGGTTGGGACCATCCTGGGAACTCATATAAGGTTGAGTCATAGGGGAGAAAGGCTAGAGAAGGATGGGAAACGTCCTAGCTAGGTCAGCAAAGCCAACCACACTTGGATGTTCAGAGCTGTACTCAAGGCTACCAATAGTGAGTCAAGCCAACCATGAGTCAGCTTGTCTTCCCAATTGCACCCTCTTGCAAGCTGCTTCCAGGAAGACCACACTTCTCAAAAAAAGGGTGATAGAGTCCCACTTGACCACCTGTACTTCTTGTCTCATTCTCTGTCCCTGCACCATTGGCATGACAACAATGAAAGGGTGGCAAGGGAAATGCTGCCAACAGTGCACCATGACTACGGAACAGTAACTTTCGACAGCTGTCACGTGCTGCTCCGATGCTGGGTTGTCCTGAAACTCGGTGACCACCTGAACAACATTGCAAAGGACTGCCATACCGATTTTCAGACCAATCAGAGCTTGATAGATGAGTCAGCAGCCGAAATGGTGAACTCGGGTGTTACCAAAAAAGAGTAACACACACTTCCGGGATGCCATAAATATTGAAACAAAAAATGTTGCCATGCCTTGCAAACTGCTTCAAAAATTCTGAAAATTTGAGGGTCTGAAGAACACATATTGAAGCACCTCCCCACAAAATTCCAGAAGCTGAGCAGGCTTGTAGGCGGAATGGGAGTGCGATGACCGTGCCACTATAGTGCTTTGGCACAACACGTTGCCACCACTCCAATGCAGGTCCTCGGAGAAGCGAAACCGTGTATTTAATATGCGTGGCATCATCATCAACACTTGCAGCAGTGAAGAAGACCTTCACATCGAACATCCACCGTTTTATTGTTACGTTCTTGTTCGCATGGTTGAACAGGGGTGGGCTTGTCGGCTTCATCTTGATTGTAGTCCGATACAAAGTGGTACACTCGATTGTGACACGTACTGTTGTGACACGTCAAGGCCGGGATGTATCCAAAGCAGAGGGATATCCGTTAGCTAGGCGGAAACCTCGGGAATACGAGGTTGTGTGCAGGTTTGGCGAAAGGAAAACCAAAGGCGTCGCTTGGTAGCCTCGGAATTGTGGATGTCGCCCGAACGTGCGAAGTCCGAAAGTGCAGGGTTGTACGCGAAGCAAGTCAACCTTGATAAGGAAAAGGAGTATTCCTTACAATTAGCTAGTTCAATTGCACCTGTAACATGTATACTGAGTATCATATTCTCGATATTAGCGATTCTGTTTTTATTTATAACACTTCCCACTACCAACCATGCCATAAAGGCGCACGCGTCAGCCACCCTCGCGGCAACCCCCAGGCCTTCCCGATTGCCACCATCCCCCGCTTTCTGTGGTACCAACCCACCCCACTCCCTTGTCCCGCTGGCTCTTTCAGCTGCGGTTGTGTAATTTTGCACACTAGCATCCCCACGTTGCACTGTGCCACCCCACCACGTATCTCTCCTCCATTGTCACTTATTTGCGAAATTATCGCGGTGATCACGGGTACTTGTAACTAGGGTTAGTAGGGCACTCTCGTCGAGAATCTCTATAAGTTATCATCGCGTTATATAACTACAAGGCTGGTCGTCGTTTAGCACCTGCGCCAAGGGCCCACAATGCTGGTGTGCTAGTGTACGCGTTATAAGCCAGCAATGGCCGGCGCGGAAAGCCGGCCGCCGCCCAGGCGGGTGCATCTGCAGCAGCAGCCGCTGGTGGTTACCACCACCGTCATCCAGGCCGCCGCCGTGCTGATCATGGTGAGCCGCGCACGACCGCGCTGATTGTAGCACGTGGCGTTGATTGTTGCTACGTGGCGTTTGTATCACGTGATGTTGATTATAACGATACGTGAGGGGTTGATAATAACGAGTCCCAGTCGGCATCAACCTCCGATATTTCCGCTAGACTATCCCAGCGAGGCAATGCACGCGGCGACGGCGGTGATGTCAACGGCACATTCTTAGGCAGTCGTGATTATATCGAGTCGCGTCAGATCGCGCTTCCCGGGTGGACTCCAGCAGTCGGCAACGCGCGCGACGAGCAGCGCATACCCTGCTGAGCACCCCGCAATGAGCGGCGGCATCCTGCTGTTGGCGCCGCTGAGCACCCCGCTGGTGACCCAACCGCGCCGAACAGCACTCGAAATCTTTCTTGTGATCGCGTGCGGGGCAGGGTGGGGCGTTGACATGCCCGCATGGGGGTTGACAGGCGGGACACGCTGATACTGCTGCCTCGCGCTACACACTCGCAACGGCGCGGCTGTGCGCGCGGTAAAGACGGCAGTCGGGGGGGAGAGCGCGGTGGGGCACGAGGCGGAGGGAGCCATCGCAATGCACCGCGAATTCTCGCGCCGCTTCTTGCCCCACTTCCTCCCCACTGCCCTCTCCCTTCCCTTCGTCTCCGCCCGTCGTCCCCTTTTCCATTTGTCTTCTACCCTCCCATTCCTGCCCCATTCCCCCTCGCCCCACTCCCCGCCCCCCACCCTCCCCTTTTCCGCTCCCCCCTCTCTCCCCCTCCCTTCCCCCTTCTCCCCCTCGCTTCCCCCTCTCCCCCTGCCCTCCCCCCCTCCTCCCCCCCCCGCGCGCAGTACATGATGGTGGCGCGGCACCTGTCCAGCAAGATGACTTTTGAGTCGACTCAAAATGTCATCCCCCACTCCCCCTGCCGTCCCCCCCTCCGCGCGCAGTACATGATGGTGGCGCGGCACCTCTCCAGCATCGAGCAGATCGTTGTGGCGCTCACAGAGAGGTAGGGCGCAGAGAGGTAGGGCGCAGAGAGGTAGGGCGCAGAGAGGTAGGGCGCAGAGAGGTAGGGCGCAGAGAGGTAGGTCGCAGAGAGGTACGGGCATGGCGTGTCATGGCACGGCATGGCATGGCATGCATGGCATGGCGTCGCATGGCATGGCATGTGCTCCCATGGGATTGTATGCCCTCTCTCCCTCTGCTCCTTCCCTCCCTACCTCTGCCGCTGCCTTCCCTCCTATGCGCCCCCTCTAATCCACAGCATCACACAGCAGCAGCTAGCACACGCACCCCGCAGGCCAGCAGCAACGGCGTTGCTCTAATCAACCATGCCACGCCAGTCATCATACCTCATCTCCCCCTTCCCCCTCCCCCTCCTACCCCACCTCCCTCCTCCTCCTTACTCCACGCACCTCCAGCATAACGGAGCAGGCGGGCAACGAGGCGCATGACATGCGTGTGCTGGTGGGCGCACTGGAGAACCACACTCTCTCCGTCGCCACCGCCCTCACCGACCACGTCGCCCTACAGACGGGTTAGTGCTGCACTGCACCGCACTGCACCCATCCAGTGGCGAGTGCCCACTGTTCAGTCAACAGTCACTCATACAGCGCTGCAGACCAGAGGTCCCCCAGTCGGTCAGTCAGTCAGTCAGTCAGTCAGTCAGTCAGTCAGTCAGTCAGTCAGTCAGTCAGTCAGTCAGTCAGTCAGTCAGTCAGTCAGTCAGTCAGTCAGTCAGTCAGTCAGTCAGTAGTGAGTGAGTGAGCGAGTGAGTGAGCAAGTCACCGCAACACCGATGGATGCCATGCCATGCGCAGTGGGCACTCACACACTCACTGCAGCGCTGCAGCTGCAGGCACGCTTGTGCAAGCCACGTGGCGTGATGACCGCCCCTAGAGCATGCGCGGGCTGACAGGCCAGCCCAGGCTAGAGTGTGATGACCCCCTTTGCTCCTGAAACAGCCGGCCCGCCTGCACCCACCCAGCTGGGGAAGGGGGCAGTATGGCCATGCGAAAGGGCGAGCAGGATGGATGCTTGAGATGTGACACGATGCTTGAGATGTGACACGATGCTTGAGATGTGACACGATGTTTGAGATGTGACACGCTGCTTGAGATGTGACACGCTGCTTGAGATGTGACACGCTGCTTGAGATGTGACACGCTGCTTGAGATGTGACACGCTGCTTGAGATGTGACACGCTGCTTGTTTTATCATGCGTGCCCTTGCTTGTGTGTGTATCGTGCTTCTGTGTGTGCGCGTGTGTCCTATTTGTCTGCATCTGTCCGTCTCTGTCCATGAGTCTGTCTCTCTCTGTGTCCCTGTCTCTGACTGCCTGCCTCTGTCCCTCTACCTGTGTCTGTACTGTGTGTGTGTCTGTCTGTTCCGTGTCCGTGTCCTTATCTTAGTGCGTGTTTGAATCCATGTTTGTACATCCGTGCATGTGCGCGCATGGGTGTGTGCGTGCATGCGTCATCATCGCCAGGTCAGCTGCGCCAGCTGGCATCGGAGATACGCAATCACAGCGCCACGGTGCAGACCCACGTGGCAACAGCCGTGGACGCCATTGGCGGAGGTGGGGAGGGCGGGAGGGGTGGCGGAGATGTGACAAAGGAGAAGCTGGCCGTGCTCATCTCCGCCTCCGCTCGCTCCCAGGTGCGCGAGGCGTGTGTGCACCTGGTTGCTGTTGGTAGGCCCCTCCCATCCCAAGAGTCCCATCGCTGTAAGCCCCTCTACCTCTGTCTGCTCTGGTACCAAGGTGACTTTTGAATCGACTCAAAAGTCACCTAGCCCCTCTACCTCTGTCTGCTCTGGTACCTGAATTGAAAGTCGATGCGCGGGAGAGGCTGGCCGTGCTCATCTCCGCCTCTGCTCGCTCCCAGGTGCTGCCTCCGGGGAAATGCGAGGGAAGAGCAAGGGAGGAGCAGGGGGGGGCAGGGGAGGGAGGGGGAGAGCAAGGGGGGGACAGGGAGAGAGCAGGGAGGGGCAGGGGAGGAGCAGGGAGGGGCAGGGGGGTGAGAGCAGGGGGGGGCAGGGCGAGAGCAGGGTGAGAGCAAGGGGGGGCAGGGGGAGAGCAGGGGGGGCCAGGGGGAGTGCAGGAGGGGGTAGAGGGGAAGCAGAGGAGTGTGGGAGCAGGGGGAGAGCCGGGGGAGAGCGGGGGGGGAGCAGGGGGAGAACAGGTGGGGAGCTGGGGGAGAGCAGGGGGGGAGCAGGGGGGGGAGCAGGGGGGGAGCAGGGAAGATTCCCTTCCTATCCCCATCCCCTCACCTACTTGTAGTAAGCAATGCTCCAAATGGAGCAGGGCACATTCAAATTAACACGGGCCGCTGCCTCAACTGTTCAACGGGGCTGCACGCATGCATGTGTACCTTTGCTTCAAGCTCAGGAAAGCTGCACAACTCTCGTGCTTGTAACTCAACCCTCATTTCATTCCTCGCCCCCTCCCGACCCTCACCTCACTCCCCCCCTCTACTCTCCATTTCCCCTCCCTCTCCCCCACCCCCCTTCCTCCGTGCCTGCCCCCCTGTGTGCTGCTGCTGCTGTGCGTGCGTGCTGCGGCCACGCCCCCCCTGGCAGCGCAAGACAGAGGCGTTTCTCTCCAGCCTTCTCACCTCAGTCAAGGCGCTCTCCAAGCAGATGGAGGTGGGTTGTGTGCGGTGCGTGTGGTCAGATGCAATGCAAGTGGTTGAGGGCAGCAGTGGAAGGGTTGCCACGCATCATCACATGGCATGCCAGTTGACGTGCACACATGCATGCGTGGTGCTCTTCTCATCGCTTGCCAGATTTCTCAAACCTCAGCTCACATCTCCCACACCCTCTGTGTTGCTTGGCACGGCACGGCACACCATGATCCGCCTGCCACGGCACGGCACGGCATGGCACAGGAGCAGGGAGGGGCAGGAGGGGCAGCTGGCAGCGCAGCGGGCTTGATGGGGGTGAGAGAGGCGGCCGCGGCTTCCAGGAAGCAGCTGCTGGCCCTCAAGACGCTGCAGGTGTGTGTGCTGTCGTGCACTTACTGCTGCAGCGGTTGCTCCTTTATACACTGCCCATCTCTTACAGTCACTTTCTGGTTTGAATCCTGCTGCATGCGTGCATCTGGTGTGATGTGATGTGATGTGATGTGATGTGATGTGATGTGATGGGATGGGATGGGATGTGATGTGATGTGATGTGATGTGATGTGATGGGATGTGATGTGATGTGAAGTGATGTGATGTGATGTGATGGGATGTGATGGGATGTGATGTGATGGGATGTGATGGGATGTGATGGGATGTGATGTGATGTGATGTGATGTGATGTGATGTGATGTGATGTGATGTGAAGTGATGTGATGTGATGTGATGTGATGTGATGTGATGTGATGTGATGTGATGTGATGTGATGTGATGTGATGTGATGTGATGGGATGGGATGTGATGTGATGGGATGGGGTGCCTTGTGAGCATGCGAGCAGGAGTCAATGGAGGACCTCAAGTCAAGGCAGTCAACGACAGACTACTCCCCGCAGGTACTCCCCTCAGGTACTCCCCTCAGGTACTCCCCTCAGGTACTCCCCTCAGGTACTCCCCTCAGGTACTCCCCTCAGGTACTCCCCTCAGGTACTCCCCTCAGGTACTCCCCTCAGGTACTCCCCTCAGGTAATCCCCTCAGGTACTCCCCTCAGGTAATCCCCTCAGGTACTCCCCTCAGGTACTCCCCTCAGGTACTTACCCCTCAGGTGACTCCCCTCAGGTACTCCCCTCAGGTACTCCCCTCAGGTACTCCCCTCAGGTACTCCTCCCTCAGGGTACTCCCCCAGGGTACTCCCCTCAGGGTACTCCCCTCCAGGTACTCCCTCAGGTACTCCCCTCAGGTAACTACCCCTCACCCGGTACTCCCCTCACGGTACTCGCCGTCCTCAGGTACTACCCCTCCAGGTACTCCCCCTCAGGTACTCCCCCTCAGGGTACTCCCCCCTCAGGGTACTCCCACTCAGGTACTCCCCCTCAGGTACTCCCCTCAGGTACTCCCCTCAGGTACTACTCCCGCAGGCTACTCCCCTCAGGATACTCCCCTCAGAGGTACTCCCCTCAGGTACTCCCTCAGGTACTCCCCTCAGGTACTCCCCTCAGGTACTCCCCTCAGGTACTCCCCTCAGGTACTCCCCTCAGGTACTCCCCATCAGGTACTCCCCTCGAGTATACTCCCCTCAGGTAATCCCCTCAGGTACTCCCCTCAGGTACTCCCCTCAGGTAATCCCCTCAGGTACTCCCCTCAGGTACTCCCCTCAGGTACTCCCCTCAGGTACTCCCCTCAGGTACTCCCCTCAGGTACTCCCCTCAGGTACTCCCCTCAGGTACTCCCCTCAGGAACTCCCCTCAGGTACTCCCCTCAGGTACTCCCCTCAGGTACTCCCCTCAGGTACTCCCCTCAGGTACTCCCCTCAGGTACTCCCCTCAGGTACTCCCCTCAGGTACTCCCCTCAGGTACTCCCCTCAGGTACTCCCCTCAGGTACTCCCCTCAGGTACTCCCCGCAGGTACTCCCCTCAGGTACTCCCCTCAGGTACTCCCCTCAGGTACTCCCCTCAGGTACTCCCCTCAGGTACTCCCCGCAGGTACTCCCCTCAGGTACTCCCCTCAGGTAATCCCCTCAGGTACTCCCCTCAGGTACTCCCCTCAGGTACTCCCCTCAGGTACTCCCCTCAGGTACTCCCCTCAGGTACTCCCCTCAGGTACTCCCCTCAGGTACTCCCCTCAGGTACTCCCCTCAGGTACTCCCCTCAGGTACTCCCCTCAGGTACTCCCCTCAGGTACTCCCCTCAGGTACTCCCCTCAGGTACTCCCCTCAGGTACTCCCCTCAGGTACTCCCCTCAGGTACTCCCCTCAGGTACTCCCCTCAGGTACTCCCCTCAGGTACTCCCCTCAGGTACTCCCCTCAGGTACTCCCCTCAGGTACTCCCCTCAGGTACTCCCCTCAGGTAATCCCCTCAGGTACTCCCCTCAGGTACTCCCCTCAGGTACTCCCCTCAGGTACTCCCCTCAGGTACTCCCCTCAGGTACTCCCCTCAGGTACTCCCCTCAGGTACTCCCCTCAGGTACTCCCCTCAGGTACTCCCCTCAGGTAATCCCCTCAGGTACTCCCCTCAGGTACTCCCCTCAGGTACTCCCCTCAGGTACTCCCCTCAGGTACTCCCCTCAGGTACTCCCCTCAGGTACTCCCCTCAGGTACTCCCCTCAGGTACTCCCCTCAGGTAATCCCCTCAGGTACTCCCCTCAGGTACTCCCCTCAGGTACTCCCCTCAGGTACTCCCCTCAGGTACTCCCCTCAGGTACTCCCCTCAGGTACTCCCCTCAGGTACTCCCCTCAGGTACTCCCCTTAGGTACTCCCCGCAGGTACTCCCCTCAGGTACTCCCCTCAGGTACTCCCCTCAGGTAATCCCCTCAGGTAATCCCCTCAGGTACTCCCCTCGGGTACTCCCCTCGGGTACTCCCCTCAGGTACTCCCCTCAGGTACTCCCCTCAGGTACTCCCCTCAGGTACTCCCCTAAGGTACTCCCCTCAGGTACTCCCCTCAGGTACTCCCTCAGGTACTCCCCTCAGGTACTCCCCTCAGGTACTCCCCTCAGGTACTCCCCTCAGGTACTCCCCTCAGGTACTCCCCTCAGGTACTCCCCTCAGGTACTCCCCTCAGGTACTCCCCTCAGGTACTCCCCTCAGGTACTCCCCTCAGGTACTCCCCTCAGGTACTCCCCTCAGGTAATCCCCTCAGGTAATCCCCTCAGGTACTCCCCTCAGGTACTCCCCTCAGGTACTCCCCTCAGGTAATCCCCTCAGGTAATCCCCTCAGGTACTCCCCTCAGGTACTCCCCTCAGGTACTCCCCTCAGGTACTCCCCTCAGGTACTCCCCTCAGGTACTCCCCTCAGGTACTCCCCTCAGGTACTCCCCTCAGGTACTCCCCTCAGGTACTCCCCTCAGGTACTCCCCTCAGGTACTCCCCTCAGGTAATCCCCTCAGGTACTCCCCTCAGGTACTCCCCTCAGGTACTCCCCTCAGGTACTCTCCTCAGGTACTCCCCTCAGGTACTCCCCTCAGGTACTCCCCTCAGGTACTCCCCTCAGGTACTCCCCTCAGGTACTCCCCTCAGGTACTCCCCTCAGGTACTCCCCTCAGGTACTCCCCTCAGGTACTCCCCTCAGGTACTCCCCTCAGGTACTCCCCTCAGGTAATCCCCTCAGGTACTCCCCTCAGGTACTCCCCTCAGGTACTCCCCTCAGGTACTCCCCTCAGGTACTCCCGTCAGGTACTCCCCTCAGGTACTCCCCTCAGGTACTCCCCTCAGGTACTCCCCTCAGGTACTCCCCTCAGGTACTCCCCTCAGGTAATCCCCTCAGGTAATCCCCTCAGGTACTCCCCTCAGGTACTCCCCTCAGGTACTCCCCTCAGGTAATCCCCTCAGGTAATCCCCTCAGGTCAGGTATCCCCTCAGGTACTCCCCTCAGGTACTCCCCTCAGGTACTCCCCTCAGGTAATCCCCTCAGGTACTCCCCTCAGGTACTCCCCTCAGGTAATCCCCTCAGGTACTCCCCTCAGGTACTCCCCTCAGGTACTCCCCTCAGGTACTCCCCTCAGGTACTCCCCTCAGGTACTCCCCTCAGGTACTCCCCTCAGGTACTCCCCTCAGGTACTCCCCTCAGGTACTCCCCTCAGGTACTCCCCTCAGGTACTCCCCTCAGGTACTCCCCTCAGGTACTCCCCTCAGGTACTCCCCTCAGGTACTCCCCTCAGGTACTCCCCTCAGGTACTCCCCTCAGGTACTCCCCTCAGGTACTCCCCTCAGGTACTCCCCTCAGGTACTCCCCTCAGGTACTCCCCTCAGGTACTCCCCTCAGGTACTCCCCTCAGGTACTCCCCTCAGGTACTCCCCTCAGGTACTCCCCTCAGGTAATCCCCTCAGGTACTCCCCTCAGGTACTCCCCTCAGGTACTCCCCTCAGGTACTCCCCTCAGGTAATCCCCTCAGGTACTCCCCTCAGGTAATCCCCTCAGGTACTCCCCTCAGGTAATCCCCTCAGGTAATCCCCTCAGGTACTCCCCTCAGGTACTCCCCTCAGGTACTCCCCTCAGGTACTCCCCTCAGGTACTCCCCTCAGGTACTCCCCTCAGGTACTCCCCTCAGGTACTCCCCTCAGGTACTCCCCTCAGGTACTCCCCTCAGGTACTCCCCTCAGGTAATCCCCTCAGGTACTCCCCTCAGGTACTCCCCTCAGGTACTCCCCTCAGGTACTCCCCTCAGGTACTCCCCTCAGGTACTCCCCTCAGGTACTCCCCTCAGGTACTCCCCTCAGGTACTCCCCTCAGGTACTCCCCTCAGGTAATCCCCTCAGGTACTCCCCTCAGGTACTCCCCTCAGGTACTCCCCTCAGGTACTCCCCTCAGGTACTCCCCTCAGGTACTCCCCTCAGGTACTCCCCTCAGGTACTCCCCTCAGGTACTCCCCTCAGGTAATCCCCTCAGGTACTCCCCTCAGGTACTCCCCTCAGGTACTCCCCTCAGGTACTCCCCTCAGGTACTCCCCTCAGGTACTCCCCTCAGGTACTCCCCTCAGGTACTCCCCTCAGGTACTCCCCTCAGGTACTCCCCTCAGGTACTCCCCTCAGGTAATCCCCTCAGGTAATCCCCTCAGGTACTCCCCTCATTACTCCCCTCAGGTACTCCCCTCAGGTAATCCCCTCAGGTACTCCCCTCAGGTACTCCCCTCAGGTATCCCCTCAGGTACTCCCCTCAGGTACTCCCCTCAGGTACTCCCCTCAGGTACTCCCCTCAGGTACTCCCCTCAGGTACTCCCCTCAGGTACTCCCCTCAGGTACTCCCCTCAGGTACTCCCCTCAGGTACTCCCCGCAGGTACTCCCCTCAGGTAATCCCCTCAGGTAATCCCCTCAGGTACTCCCCTCAGGTACTCCCCTCAGGTACTCCCCTCAGGTAATCCCCTCAGGTAATCCCCTCAGGTACTCCCCTCAGGTACTCCCCTCAGGTACTCCCCTCAGGTACTCCCCTCAGGTACTCCCCTCAGGTACTCCCCTCAGGTACTCCCCTCAGGTACTCCCCTCAGGTACTCCCTCAGGTACTCCCCTCAGGTACTCCCCGCAGGTACTCCCCTCAGGTAATCCCCTCAGGTACTCCCCTCAGGTACTCCCCTCAGGTACTCCCCTCAGGTACTCCCCTCAGGTACTCCCCTCAGGTACTCCCCTCAGGTACTCCCCTCAGGTACTCCCCTCAGGTACTCCCCTCAGGTACTCCCCTCAGGTACTCCCCTCAGGTACTCCCCTCAGGTACTCCCCTCAGGTACTCCCCTCAGGTACTCCCCTCAGGTAATCCCCTCAGGTACTCCCCTCAGGTACTCCCCTCAGGTACTCCCCTCAGGTACTCCCCTCAGGTACTCCCCTCAGGTACTCCCCTCAGGTACTCCCCTCAGGTACTCCCCTCAGGTACTCCCCTCAGGTACTCCCCTCAGGTACTCCCCTCA